TTCCTGTGTTGATCAGCTTTTGCTATATAACAAGCTTGTCCAAACTCAGTGGCTTCAAATAATAAGCATCTCCCAGAAAAGAAAAGGCTGTGGAGTAAACCCAGGCTGTAGCATAGTCTGCTTCACCATGGGGTCAGGCTTCTTCAAAACTATCACCTCCTCTCCCCAAGGAGGGGAGTGAGAGGGGGGGCAGGGGGCATCTGTAATGCTTCGGCTATCATACCCAGTGGGCCAAGAGAATGCAATCATGTGGCATCCAAGGCCTCCCCAGTGGCGCAGCAGGTTGAGCCCAGTGCTATGAAGCTGTCCGCAGCCTCTGCAGTGCGGGTTCAATTATTCCTGGCTGGCGAGGGAGATACCCACATGGCGTGGCAGACCTCTCCTGTCTTGCCTGCGGCTCCCCTTAGCAGTGTATTTCAGCCAGTCTGCCTGTTCTGTTCCCCACTCTGTATCTGGTGGATCCTCTCACCCCCTGCATCTCTGGCCTGTACCCCAGCTCTTGTATGCAGAAATAAATAAATCTTAAAAAAAAAAAAAAAAAACAAAAACAACCCTTTGGCAAGGAAGCTCTGAGTCAACTCCACCAAGATAAAACCTAGGTCAGGCAGGGCTATGGCAGAGAACAGGGAATGTGATCAGGCTCACAACAAAGGAAACTTCAGATATCAACTCCCACCTCTCATCAATTACAGAAGGGAAGATTTGTGACAGGCACCTATTTATTTGTATATGCAAACCATTCTCTTCTTTCTCCTTCCTTCCCTCCCCACCCCTTTACACAGGAATTTTTCTTGGAGGTTAACTTTGCCAGCTGGTCGCAAGGTAACAGAATGCTCGGTGAGACCATGCTGAACATGGGGAGTATTCATCAATACACTCTGTGTGACTGCTGAGACTCTGGGTTCTGGAGAAAAGCCAGCTTTTTCAATTGTTAGGATAGTGTAAAAAATGGAGTTGTTTTTGTTATTAGAAGTGACCTCTGGGGCTTCCCTGGTGGTGCAAGGGGTTAAGACGCAGCACTATGAAGCTATCACAGCAGCATGAAGCACTATGAAGCCACAGCAGCATGAGTTCGATCCCCGGCAAGCGAGCTACCCGCATGGCGCAGCAGACCTCTCCTGCCTTGCCCACTGCTCCCCTCAGCAGTGAATTTCAGTAGCTCTGCCTGTTCTGCTCCCCACTGTCTCTGTCCTGCCCCTGCATCTCTGGCCTGCACCCCAGCTCTTTTATGCATAAATAAATAAATAAATCTTTAAACAGAAGCGACCTCTAAGGTGTAGAGGGTACATATGGAAGCTGAGTAGCTGAAAGGTGGACAGTCCACCTTTCTCTTTGCCTGGCCTTCAATATCTGCTCTGCGGGAAACAATGGAATTCCTTTAAGCATTTTTCCTTTAAAGACAGCACACTTTTCAGTTTTCCCAGTAGAGGGCGCTGGATGACACTGCAGGAGGAAGAGACTGCAGATTCCAGGGCAGGAAGGGGTGTGTGGTGTGTGGTGTGTGGGTGTGAGATCCTGCCCCAACCTCAGCCTGACAGTGATCTTTCTGCATACGCTCACCCAGACACCATGGACAGGACCCCATAACCTGCACACAGCCTCCTGCCTCTTCCTGCCTTCCAGCGACTCTCTTACCTGAGTTAATAGGTCTGCATGTTAAACTTCCCTATTTAGCCTACTGGGTGGTCCCCACCTCCTGATTGGACCCAGACTGACAGTGACTACTGCACTTTGCATTTTCAACAGTTACAATCTTGCCCATTCTCAGTCTCGCTGTTTGACTCTGCAGTCATATCTCATTGTGGTTGGGATCTATATTTTCCCGGTGACAATTGACTGAGCATCCCTCAACGTGACTAAACACACCTGACCTTGGGAAATCTTTGAATTAGGTAGAGAGATATTAAGAAACTGAGTAAAGAGGGCCTCCCCGGTGGCGCAGCGGTTGAATGCTGGGTTGCGAAGCTGCCCGCAGCCTCTGCAACGCCGGTTCGATCCCCGGCCGCGGGACGAGGGTCCCACATGGTACGCAGACCTCTCCTGCCGCCCGCTGCTCCCCTCAGTCACTCTGCCTGTTCTACTCTCCGCTCTGGTTCTGGTGAATTCTATCACCCTCCCGTACCTCTAACTGTACCCAGTGCTTGTATAAATAAATAAATCTTAAAAAAAAAAATTATTTAAAAAAAGAAATTGATTAAAGAAATATTGAAGAAAGTCAAAATTGTAGTATTAAGGGCCTCCCTGTGGTGAAAGGTGTTAAGCACAGCACTATGAAGCTATTCCCAGCTATTGCAGCACGAGTTCGATCCCCAGCCAGGGAGCTACCAACATGGCACAGCAGACCTCTCCTGTCTCACCCACTGCTCCCCTCAGCAGTGTATTTCACTCAATTGGCTTATTCTGCTCCCCATTCTATCTCTGGTGAATCCTCTCACGCCCTCCCCCCGCCACCTATACCCCAGTTCTTAAACGCATAAATAGATAAATAAATCTTTTTTTAAAATTGTAGTATTAACTTTCTTGGTGGGGGAATTTGTGAATATTTTATATTTTAAGTATTGGTAATACTTAAGATAAATTGGCTTAGTTAAATAATAGTTCAACATCGTAATTCCAATTTAAAATGTGAAATCCGGGCCTCCCCGGTGGCGCAGCGGTTGAGCGCTGGGTTGCGAAGCTGCCCGCGGCCTCTGCGGCGCCGGTTCAATCCCCGGCTGCTCCCCGGCCACCAGAGGAGGATCCCACATGGTGCGCAGACCCCTCCTGCCACCCGCTGCTCCCCTCAGCAGTGTACTTCAGTCCTTCTGCCTGCTCTGCTCCCCACTCTGGCTCTGGTGAATTCTCTCACCCTCCCGCGCTTCTGACTGTACCCAGTGCATGTATAAACAAAACAAACAAACAAATATAATAAATAAATAAATAAACATGCCTCTATTTAAAAAAAAAAAAAATAAAAATAAAATGTGAAATCCACAGAAAGGGTCAGATTGGATTGAATAAAAAATATAAAATAGGGCCTCCCTGGTGGCGCAAGGGGTTAAGACTGTGAAGCTAACCACAGCCACTGCAGCACAAGTTCGATCCCTGGCCAGGAAGCAGCCCACATGGCGCAGCAGACCTCTCCTGACTTGCCTGCTGCACCCCTCAGGAGTAGGCTTCAGTCAATTTGCCTGTTCTGTTCCCCACTCTGTCTCTGGTGAATCCTCTCACCCCTCACACCTCTGGCCTGTAACGCCGTTCTTATATGTATAAATAAATAAATCTTTAAATATAAATATATAATAAAATGTGAAATCCAGGTAGTGACTATGATTTACTTTTTTTTGACATCTTACTGTTTATGTTCATTATTAGAACAACTGATAGACTATAAGAACACATTTATAAGTTTAAAATTTTAGATACCTCAAATTTATTGTTATTGTTAGTTTTGAGCAAAGATTCAGTTATTAGTCTATAGTGGTTCTTAAACGAAGCACTCTAACATATTAAATTTACAAGCATAGTTTGAAAATGTTAAGGGAATTTATTAAGTTATAAAAGCCTCTTAAAAGAGGTTGTTAAAACTTTTTAGACTAGGTCAGAATCATTACTGGTTGCTAGTTCCATCCCTGGCCAGGGAGCTGACCTACATGGCACAGCAGACCTCTCCTGTCTTGCCCACTGCTCCCTTCAGCAGTGTGTTTCAGTAGATCCACTTGTTCTGTTCCCCACTCTCTCTGGTGAATCCTCTCACCACCCCGCACTTCTGGCCTGCACCCCAGCTCTTGTATGAAAAAGTAAAAAAAACTTTGGAAAAAAATTGTGGGGGCCTCCCTGGTGGTGCAAAGGATTGAGCACAGTGCTGTGAAGCTGTCCACAGCCTCTGCAGCGTGGGTTCAATTCCTGGCTGGCCAGGGAGCTACCCACATGGCACGGCAGACCTCTCCTGTCCCACCTGCTGCTCCCCTCAGCAGTGTTTTCGGTTAGTCTGCCTGTTCTGCTCCCCACTCTGTCTCTGGTGAATTCTCTCACCCTCCCATGCTCTGGCCTGTACCCTGGCTCTTGTATAAATAAATAAATCTTAAAAAAACACCTTAAAGGGCCTTCCCGGTGGCGCAGCAGTTGAGCGCTGGGATGCGAAGCTGCCCGCGGCCTCTGCGGGGCCGGTTCGATCCCAGGCTGCTCCCCGGCCACCAGAGGAAGGTCCCACATGGCCTCAGCAGTGTGCTTCGGTCCTTCTGCCTGTTCTGCTCCCTGCTCTGGCTCTGGTGAATTCTCTCACCCTCCCGGGCTTCTGACTGTACCCAGTGCTTGTATAAACAAAACAAACAAACAAACAAATAAATAAAACATGCCTCTATTTAAAAATAAATAAATAAAAAAATAAATGTGTTGGGATTCGCTTTAAAATAACCATTTTTTTTAAAGTTGAAAAGATAGCTGAAAAACACAATAATGGTGATAACTGTTGAAGCACGTAATGGGTCCAAAATACCTTTCTGCTGCTCTTTATGCTTGAAATTTACCAGAATAAAACAAAACATAAATATAAAAACATCTGCTACACGAACCTTCCCGCTAGAAAACAGTAAAAAAATAAAAAATAAACCGCATTAACTGTTAGTTCATTTATGCTCTCATATTAGTTGATACAATGTTCTCAACCAACCTCTGAGGAAGATCCTGACTCAGTCTCCCCGTTACAGATACGGAAACTGGGGCTCGGCCGCGCGCCCACTCAGCCCGTGCAGCGCGCGCGGACCTGCAACCCCAGTTTTCCCGGCCGTGACGCGCTCTTCAATACTCACCTCGGTAGGTACCGCCTTCCTCCCACTCGGACCAATAGAATTTCCTAGATGAGTAACAGATGGCTGCTCCAGCCACTTACCTGTTGGCACCCGGTCCCACGCGCGAGGGTTGGACGGCTCCGCATCTGGGGGCGGGACTCGCCGGTTCTCTCACCCAATCCGGGGCCCGCGCGCCCGGGGCGGGGCCAGGGCCTCCCGGGGAGGGCAGGTCACTGCGCGTCCTTGGCGGAGAGGGCAGGTGACCGGCCGAAGAGGAGGACGCAGAATGAGGGTCCAGCGGGTGAGGGCCCCCCACGGGCCGGACCGGGGTTGCCATCCCGGAAGTCCTCGCCCCAATACGAGATTCTCTCTCCCTAAACGATCCGGGATCTGGGGCGCGGAACGTGATCCTCCGGGGGTGCAGGGCTCCCCCTGAGCAGCCGGGGGTGCCGGACACGGCCCGGAGCCCCGGGTTTGAGCCGCTTCGCTTTCTGCATCTCCCTTCGCGCTCAGACCTGGGCGCTGGGGCCGAATACCCCGTCTCTTCCCCGGAAGCCCCTAGGATTTCCCGATGCACCCCGACATTCCCGGGACCTGAGCTCGTCCCATGAACCCAGAAAACCTCCCTTCAAAATCTTCGGACTGGGACGGGCCGCGCGGGCGCCTCGCCTCCGGGCGCGCCTCTGCTGCTGACAGCCTGGCGCCTGCAGCCAGCCCCGCCGGGCCCGTCCCCTTCGGGGTCTCCTGTGATAGGACCCCCTCCCCGACTCGTGCTGGCAATTCCGACATGGCCTTAGAGACGCTGGGGGGGGGGGCGGGTAAGCCCACCCTACGGCAGAGCCTCGGCGAGCCCGACCCCCTCTGCACGCGCGCGCACAGCACCCCCCACCTCCGCCGAACCCACTCCGGGACGCCCCTCCAGGGGCCCCCCAATGCCCATCCTCCCTCTCTCCCCAGGTCTCCCAGGCACTGTTTCGTGCCTTCAGCTCGACCGCCCGCACTCACATGGCGAACAGAGTGGCGGAGAAACAGAAACTCTTCCAGGTAGGCGGGGCGCGGGCGGGGCAGGGAGGAGCCCAGGGCGCCGGCGGAGTCCGGGGAGGCGGGGAGTCCCCTGCGCCGAGCCCCGGGGACATCCGTTTCTCATCTGAGGTTCCCCACACCTAGGCGGACAATGACCTTCCAGTGCACTTGAAAGGCGGGGGAGCCGACAACATCCTGTACCGACTGACTATGCTGCTGGTGACGGGGGGTGAGTGTCGGGCCGGCTCCGCCTGAGCGGCAGGAGGCTGGGCTCCAGCACGAGGGAAAGGGGTTGGTCCAGGCTAGGAGTTTAGGGAGACCAGGGCAGTAGAGAACTAAGTGGAACCTGGGGTCTGGGAGGAGCTGGCTTCTGGGCTGGCCAGGTTTGGGGAACGTGCTGGAGTCCTGGCTACCATACAGCTGCAGAGCACCTTAGGGCGTGGTCTCCCGTCCCAGGATGGGGGCTGGGCCAGGATGGGCCTGGGACCCAGCAGGCAGGAGTTGAAGAGAAAGCTCCCAACCTGGCCGGGATCTAGAAGCAGGGGAGTCCCCACCTGAAGTGCATTCTGGGAAGGGAGCTGGAACCTGCACTGGGGTGGGATCCAAGCTGGTGGCTGCAGGAGTCTGTAGAAGGGCATAAAAGCTGCAGATGGGGTTCAGGAAGAAGGTTAGGGTCTCATTCTGTATCCCCCACACTCCCTCCATAGGCACCGCCTACAGCCTGTACTGCCTTGGCTGGGCCTCCTTCCCCCACAAGAAATAAGCCCAAGAAACCTGCAGGACCTGAGGGACATGAACAACAAGCGTCAATAAATGTGCTGGCTTCTTAGGGAGCCCAACCTACCTCTGCTCTGTGTGTGTGTGCCCCCCCAGCTCACCCTCCCACCAGCTAGGGGGTCTCTGCCCTGTGGGCTGCCTATCACCCAGCCGAGTCTCTCATGCTAGGCCAGGGCTATTCCTAGGATGTTGCTGCTTCTTGGCTCTCTCAGAAGGGCTGGGGACCTCAAGTGGCACCCAGGGCTGCCCCTCAAGGCCTGGGGGCTTGGGGGAATGTCCCCAAGTGGAAAGGGAGCTCTGTATTTTTTTTTTAAAGATTTATTTATTTATTTATACAAGCACTGGGTATACTCAGAAGCGCGGGAGGGTGAGAGAATTCACCAGAGCCAGAGTGGGGAACAGAACAGGCAGACTGATGAAATACACTGCTGAGGGGAGCAGTGGGAAGCAGGAGAGGTCTGCACACCATGTGGGACCCTCTCCGGCAGCCGGGGATCGAACCGGCGCTGCAGAGGCTGCGGGCAGCTTCACAACCCAGCGCTTAACCGCTGCGCCACCGGGGTGGCCCGGGAGCTCTGTATTTTAGATGGTAGCCCCTTCTCACTGCAGGGCCAGAGGATGGGAAGGAAAATGCTGGCCACAGCTAGAGGCACAACAAAGAGAGACTCAGGCCCTGAGGACAGACTCATTCAAGAACAAGCAGAGAGGCAAAGGTGGCTCTGGGGGACAGAGCTAGGAGTGGTACTGAGACCTCCCACCAACCCGGCTCTAGCAACAAAAGCAGAGATCGCCCAGGCTTCTGGGTCCCAGCCTCAGGACCTGCAAGGGGTCTCAGCAAGAATGAGGCTGTAATTCAGCTGCGACCCGGCATGAGGAAAAGGACACAAGAAAGGACCAGGACATACACACAGATCTAGCTCTGGGGACAGACACGGAGACAAAGTCCTCTCACCCCCACTGCCAGGGCCCCTCAACTCAGAACATGAGGCAGATGTCAGAGAGAGCAGCGACCGGGTATATTTATTCCTGCCTGGATCTGGCAGGCTAGGATCAGAATACAAAGGCACTGGGGCGTGCAGGCCTGTTATGGCCTGGAGTGGGGCTGCCTGGGTGGTAACATGGGTGTGCCAGGGTGTGTAGGGACGGGAGTGAACCTCCCAGGACTGAAAAGAAGGGCCCTTGAGGCATGGGGCTTGGCACAGGTGCACAGGAGAGGTTACGGAGAGAGCGTGAGATGGGTGTGCTGGGAACGGAGTGACCCCTGGGTCAGGCCACATCTGAGAGTCAGAGCTGGGGTAACGTGGGCCGGGGCATGTTGGGGCATGTTCGGCCCTGGCTGTTGACTGAGAAGCCAGTGCCAAGGGCTGGGAGAACGTAAAGGCCTGTGGGTTGGCAGAACCCATGAAGACATGACTGCAGATGGGATCAGCCCTGGGAGACCGAAGGGTCCAAGGTGACTCCTCTAGCGAGGCGGTGAAGGGGCAGGACTGGAACTCCCATTCAGGAATACATCGTCAGCTGTAGCCACTGGGGAGAGGAGGGCGCAGAGTCAGGAGCAGGGAACCTATGGTTACCAGCCCCCTCCTCCCTGCCCTCACCCAGGGGCTTCTGGGAAAATCTGAGGGAAGAAGCCCAAGCACAGAGCGAGCACATGTGGCCAAGGTGAAGGGGCCCCTGCAGGGCGTTCTTACCTCCTGGATGTTCACCTTGATTTGTCCAGTGCCATCTTTGTCAAGAGATTTGAAGGCACCTGGAAGAGAAAGGAAGGGCTGAGGGGAGTGGCTATTAGGATGAAAATGTTATACTGATAGATGGGATGACAGTAATCCCAGGGAGCGCTTTAGGAAGTGGTTTGATTGTGTTAATGCAATTAGCCCAATTCTGAGAGACAAGTGTCATTGTGAAACAAAGCACAGAGAAGTGACACGCCCCAACTCACACAGCAGGAAAGTAAAGGAACTGTGATTGCGAGCCAGGCTGTTACCCACCCTTGTCTATTCTGTACCCCACCCATCCCCCTCTAACACACCACAGTCCAGTCCCTGCCTTCCTAGGGGAAGGAGGCTTTGGAGGCTCCACTTCCCGCCCCTGCAATTCAGCAGTCCCGCTCCTGTCCTGAAACTCAGCTCCATGGCCCCTGACAACATCTAAGCCCAGGCAAACAGATGCCCACACTGTCCTTGCTTGCTCTCTCACCACTCAGTCGCTACCCTTAGGTGTCCACACCTATGTCCCAGACACTGCACCCACTGCAGTTACTACTGGCTCTCTTGCCCCTGAATGCCCCTATGGCCATTTCTTGTGCCTTCTCATAGATGACTCTGGTCTCGCCTACCCTGCTTTTGTCCACTCCCACTGCACGTCCCTGCCATCTCCAATGCCTGCCCCTCTTCAGCCCACCTCCTCGCTGCATTATCCTCCCTGGGTTCTGCAAAGAGCGGGCCACCTGGCCCTGGCCTTGCCCTGCCTAGAACCTGCAGTGGTTCTCAGGCTCAGGTCGAGTCCCCCTAAACTTGGCATTCAGAGTCCTACATGGCTTGACAGTACCCACTGCTCCTGCCACGTTGCATTCAATTCTTATTAAAGATCTGAGTTCAAGTTCTGACTTTGCGACTTCCTGAGAGGCTGTGAGCAAGCAGCTTTGCCTCCTTGAATCTTACATCCCTCTCCTTAAAATGAAGACATTAATTCTCACTTCTTAAGGGCGTCTTAAGAATTTAGTATATTAATAGTCATAGGAGCCATCATAATCCAGCTCTACTCACCCCACCCAACCTTACGTCTCCCCATCCCACCCCCTCATCCGTACCCTGAACTGAGTCCAACAGAAAACACCGAACACTCTGTCTTCTCTTCCCTTCTAGGCCTCTGCACAGGCTGCTCCCCTTGCACACTTGCCCCCACCCTCTCACGGGGTGTCACATTTCCTCATCCTTCTGGCTTCAGCTCTTGTGTCCTACCCCACAAAGCCCTCCGTGACCCCTTAGCTGCATCAGGAGCCTCATAGGTTCAAATAACCCTGTGCACTGCCCACCCACCAACCTAAGCCCACTCTGCCCAGAGCTCCCCCTCAGGGCGATGCTGTCACCTGGCCTAGGCTCCCCACCCTGACAGCCATCATTCTGAACCATCGGCTTCGTCATCTGCCTTCTTCACTGGACTGTGGGTATCATCAAGGCAGAAACTAGAATTGTTTTGCTCACTGCTGCGCCCCCTACCATCACCCACTTTAGGGTCAGTTTTAGGGGAGAACCTGGCCAATGGAAGATGAACAAATCCCCACCCAGGATTTGCAGTGTCACTCACGGAACATGGCGTCCAGCCTGACCAGGCAGCTGATGAAGTTGTCAAAATTCATGTTCCCTGCTTCATCTGAGTAGCGGCGGATGATCATGTTGTAGAGATGCTCATTCAGATGGAAGCCTAGGAATGGTTCAGTCCCTCAGGTGTGGGGGCCACACTGCCCAACCCACTCCCAGCCCTGGGAATCGATTCACACAGCTCAGCCCCGCCATGTCCCAGTCAACCGCACCTGCTGCCTCAAAGGCCCCTGGGAGTTCACTGCCACTGATGGTCCCTGAATGGTCCACATCAAACTGTTTGTATATGGCCTGTGGGGACAGGGAGGTCAGGGTTCATGGAACATTGTTAACACAGCAAACCCATGGCTTGGGGGACTTCATGCTGGGAGTTTCAGGTGTTAACCTACCTGCCATTTTTTGATGTTGTTCCACAAGTACTTGAACTCCTCAAAGCCCAGCTTGCCTGTGGTGTCGCTCTGGTAGGAGGGTGTTAAGAATAGGGTGATGGCTGAACCCAGAGGCCACACTATGTAGACGACAATGACAACAGCCCAGCAGGGGGACCTGGGCTAAACCCCACTCCTGTCCTATCCTAGTGGATCAACTTTTCCTTATTCCACTGTTTATTTTTCTAAGGACTCCCTCTAAACCATCTGGGGTTATACTGAACTTCCCCAAACTACAAATTCCTCACCTGAACATAGCTGCTAATTCCTCAAGACACCAGTCCTGTGGTAGTATTCCCCATCACAGAAAATGAAACAGATTCAAAGCTGAAAAAAGATCTAAGATCATATTAAAGCTAATGCAGCCAGACCACTTACTATGTACTGGGCTAACCTGTGCCTGTAGCTCCAACTTGGTATCATCATCAAAATACACCCCTTTTTAAAAAAATTTTCTTTTTATTTATTTATGCATACAAGAACTGAGGTCTAAGCCAGTGATGTGGGGGAGGTGGCGGGGAGAGGATTCACCAGAGACAGAGGAAGGAGCAGAACAAGCCGATCTGAAATAAACTGCTGAGGGGAGCAGCAGGCGGGAGAGAGGTCTGCTGCGCCATGTGGGTCACCTCCCTGGGCGGGGATCGAACTCATGCCGCAGTGGCTGGTGATAGTTTGATAGAGCTGAGACTTTAACTCCCTGTATCACCAGAGAGGCCCAAAATTCACCCCATTTTAGATAGGCCAATGGAGGCATAGGAAAGCCCACCAATCTTGTTGAGGGGCAGAGCCAGGATTATTTAATCCTATAGAACGCATGTATGTGATCCTGTGACGTGTATGTATCCACATTGTGTTGAGGGTATATGTAGCCAAGATCAGCGAATGACTGGCCCATGTGCATATACACGTGTTCCTATGCATGCCTTCACATAGCATCATGCACATAGGTGTGGCCTTATATGTGTATGGCTGTTAGAAGTTTGGGTTCTCAAGCCCCAGAGACCAAGTCCAAATTCCTACCATTTATTGGTAACTTAGATTGTCTCTCTCTGAGTCTTGTTTTTGTTACCTACAAAGCAGAATGTAATATAATGAAATATTACTCAGAAATCAAAAAAGACAAACCATTTGCATCAACATGGATGAAGCTGGAAGAGATCATCCTAAGCAGAAACAAGCCGGAAGGAGAAAGACAAATATTGGATGGTTTCACTTATATGCGGAATATAGAGAAACTAAACAAAAGGTCAAGAAAAAGACAAAACTAGCAAACTGACCATAGATCTGAGGCACACAGCAGGGGAGGGAGAGGGACCAAAACAGGGGCAGGAAGAACACAAGGGAATATGGAGATGGTCCATGCATGATGTGGTGGCGGGAGATCTATGGGGACTACACCTAAGTGGGGTATACTGATAACTGTACAAAAATGAACAATGATGTAAGAAAATAAGTAAAATAAAATGGAGTGGAGGGGCCTCCCTGGCGGCACAGGGGTTAAAGATATATCACTATGAAGCTATCTGCAGCCTCTACAGCGAGTTCAATCCCCGGCCAGGGAGCTACCCACATGGCGCAGCAGACCTCTCCTGTCTCGCCCGCTGCTCCCCTCAGCAGTGTGTTTCAGTCAGCCTGCCTGTTTTGTTCCCCACTCTGTCTCTGGTGAATCCTCTCACCCCCCGCACCTATGGCCTGTACCCCAGTTCTTGTATGCATAAATAAATCTTTAAAAATAAATAAAGAAAAAAGAAAGACAAATCCCCTCTTCATCCAAGGTCTCCCTTAGACTGCCCCAAGGATACATCCATCACGGCCACCATGCTGCGGCACGTGTCAATGCCAAAACCATCCGTCTTCAGATCAGGATCTGTGGGGGAAGAAGTTGAAGTTCAGAGGTCAAAGGTCACTGGCACCCCAGCCCCCATGCCTCTCAACCCGCCCAGTGTGTTAATGCCAGTCACTCACGTCGAGTCACAACCTTGTTGAGAATGTTCATGAGTTCTGTGGCACTGACTTCCATGTCCTGAGGGGAGAAGGTGGGGGTGGGTCAGGGTGACTTGAAGGGATCGGGGCATGTCATGAAGGAGGACAGGAACTTCTGGACTGCCACGGTGGAGTGCGTGTGTGAGCAGCCCAAGGGAGGCATGGGAGGATCAGCACAGGTCTGGGGGTCCGGGGTTACTTACATCTCCAGCCAGCTGGGCAAAGAGTCGCCGGAACTGACGGACCTCCTCGCTCTCATTGGCCTCAATGTTGGCATAATGGGTGCGTGGGGGCTGCGGAGGGAGGAGATCTCAGAGCAGGGAGGGGAAGGGAGTACCCTGGACAGGACAGTCCTAGTGGGGAAGCCTGAGTGAGCTGGGCCATCAAAGAAATGACAGGTCAGAGGACAGGTAAGGGGCATAACCAAGACCCAGGGTAAATGTGAGGACACGGTAAGGGACAGGCTGAACGAGAGGAACTTCTTAAGAGGGAGAGGGAGTGGGATTTCTTCAAAGGGAGAAGAGACATCTCTGGCGAGGAACTCAGCTTACCGGGGGCTCTGGGTTGTACTGCGCAGCCGCCTCGCTGAAGGGAAACAAGGGGGAGTTAGGCCCAGGGGGCGGGGCCTCCAACGGGCAACGCCACCCCCCACGCTCCAACCCCCCAAGCCCCAGACTGCCACCCTCCTTACCTGCTCCCTCTGCCCACCTCGTCTGTCCTTATCCTCACCTGTCCCTATCCTTGCTGCCCTGGTTGCATAGATCGGGAAAGCTGGACGCCCACCCTACAGCAGGCTCCGCTGCTGCCGGGCACACCCACCTAATGGCAGATTCCTCAATATGCCCAGCCCCTTCGAGGGCTGGCTTCAAGGAAGCTCTGCCCAGCCTCCCAGGGCCCCGCCTTCCTCAGGTCTCATCAGTCTAGGAACTGTCACCACCACCCCCACCCGGGCTCCATTAGACCCTGCCCCTTCGAGGGGTCACTGCCCGGTGACCGAAGGTAACGCTACGTTCCTAGACACAACCTACCTCCACCAGGATAGTTTTCTATTGTAATACGGCCAGTCCCTACTATTTTAATTTGCCCCAGCCCTCGGGCCTTGACCTCTTCTGGGCCCATCTCAGTGACCCACCTAGGACAGCAGTTCCCTCCCATTACCAGGCTTTGCCCCACAAGAAGTGACACCCGGCCTCAGCCAGCTAGGTCCCCCAGACGGCTCCCCGCCAACAGTCAGACCACGCCCAAGTCAGGCCCCGCCCCAGACTTATAAAGGATCCAGGTCAGTCTCCAAGTTACCCCATTCTATTCGTGCAGGACAAGCCTCCTCCTCGGGCCCCGCCCTCCCGGGGCCCCGCCCCCGGGGCCCCGCCCCCCGGGGCCCGCCCCGGGGCCCGCCCCCGGGGCCCCGCCCCGGGTCACGCCCTCCCGGGCCCCGCCCCCAGGGCCCGCCTCCCAGCCCCGCCCTCCCCGGCCCCGCCCTCCCCGGCCCCGCCTCACCTGATGGCGCTGATGACCCCGCCCAGGAAGCGCATGGCGGTTCCGCCGCCGCCGCCGCCGCCCCCTCCGGCTGCAGCACCGCCGCCCCCTCCGCCGCCGCCGATCAGGCCCCCGATCACGTTGCCCAGGCCGCCGCCTCCCCCGCCGCCGCCGCCGCCGGCCCCGCTGATCAGGCCGCCGAGCACGTTCCCAAGGCCGCCTCCGCCGCCCCCGCCGCCGCCGCCGCCCTTGAGGAAGGAGTTGACGAGGAACATGGCGCCGCTCGGCCTGCGGGGACGGCGGGGTCAGGCGGCCGCCCCCCCGCAGGCCCGCGCCCCCCGCAGGCCCGCGCCCCCCCAGCAGGCCCGCGCCCCCCGCAGGCCCGCGCCCCCCAGCAGGCCCGCGCCCCCCCGCAGGCCCGCGCCCCCCGCAGGCCCGCGCCCCCCAGCAGGCCCGCGCCCCCCCGCAGGCCCGCGCCCCCCAGCAGGCCCGCCCCCCCGCAGGTCCGCGCCCCCCCGCAGGCCCGCGCCCCCCCAGCAAGCGCGCGCGGCGGCGGGGCCGGGAGCCCTGGGGCGCCGCGGGGGCGCTGGCCCAGGCGGCGCTGGGGGCCGGGCGGGGGTCGGCGGCCGCGCGGGGCCGGGGTGCAGCCCTGGCTGCGCGCCCCGGGCCGGGATAACGGGGCCCCCGGGGTCGGGAGCGCGGGCCAGGCTGCGGCCAGAGCCCCTCCGGGGGGTGCGGGGGCGCCCCCGACCCAGGCCCATCTCCACGGCGGAGGGCGGCGTCTCCGCGGCGGGATAACGGGGCGCCCGGGGCTGGGGTCCAGGATCCCGAGTCGGGGGGGGCGCGGCCCGGGCTTCGGGGTCTCCCGGGCCTGGGGCCGCGGGGCGGGACTGCGGGGTGTCGGGGTACAGACCCGGGCTGCGCCTCCCTGCCGTCCGCGTCCGCTGCTCCCGGCTCCGGCGCGTCCGGCTCCGCAGGGCGGGGTCGGGCTCAGGGCGGGGCCGCCGGCGCCCGCGCGGTCCTAGCGCCGCGCCCTCCTCGGGGTGCGAGTCCTGCACCCCGCATTCCCGCCGCGCTCGGGGCGGCCAGGCCTGAGGCCTCCCCGCCTTCTGCGCGGGCGAGGGCAGCTGGGGGTGGGGTCGCCGCGCCCGGGGGTGCCCCTGAGGGTGACATTTCTCCTCGAGGCCGGGCCAGGGAGGCGGCCTCGGTGCCCCCGAAGAGGCTCAGCCCTCGGCCCCCACCCTGGCCCTGCCCGGCGTGGGGAAAGCCCGGGTGTCGCCGGGCCCGCAGTGCGGAGGCGAGCGCCGGGATCTGCGCTCCAGGGCACAGCTGGACTCGCTTTCTGGACTCGCTTTCTGGCCCTGCCGCGGGCCCACACTGGAGGGGAGAACTTTTCTCGGGTCAGCTTCACCAGGATGGTTCTCCTGGACGGGCCAGAGTGTCTGCTTTTCTTCCAATCTCTAAACGGGGGCCGAACACAGAAGAGTCCAGGCCGCGCTCAGAATCTGGGTTTCCAAGATCAGATGGTGGGCGGGGTGGGGGCCCAAGAAACTGAAGGGGAAAGACGATTGAAGTCCCCTTTGGAGGATTTTTCCTTGCTCTCTGGGTCCAGCCTCTAACCTATGCGGACCCAGTAATTTTCCAGGGCTCCTCGGAGGGGGCTGAATCAGGTCCCAGACAGTGGCGAGTTGGTCCTCAGCCTCGCTCCCCTGGAGGGCGGCTAAGCCTGTGTTTGAGTCCTGGCGCTGCCCCAGCTGTGCGGCTCCAAAAGAGACCTGGAATCTCCAAGCAACGATTTTCTAATCTGTGCAATGGAAACAAGGGCTCCCTACTCCCGCCTTCCCCCAGCCTCACCCATTACAAGGCACCTAGCAAGAATTTAAGTGATAAATGTAAATAGCTCGCAAAAGATAAACCCGCAGTCACAGTCATGCTTTCTGAGCACCGGCTGGGCCAGGCCAAGGCAACTGGGACACCAGCCTGGTCTATGAGGCAGGAACTAACAGGAGAGAAAATGGAGGCCCTGAAGGTAGGATCACTTGGCTGAGGTCACAGAGGGTGGCAGGACTAGGTTTGAACCTGGGCATGGCTGATGCCGAAACCTTTGACAATGACTAACCTGGATTCCTATCTCACCACACCCTTTCCTGCTAGGCTGAGCAGCTTCTGTTGGCTGCCCTTTTTTTGGGGTTCATTTCTACCTGCAACACTTCTTTTTTTTTTTTTTTTTCTTCCTGGTTTTGTAACAGTGAGGCCTTGGGTGTCAGCTCAGGACTCACCTCCTCTAGGAAGCCCTCTCATCTACACCCCAACTGAGACTAGGTGAGGCTTGCAGTTAATTTGTAACTAACTTCTTTCACTCCCAGTTACAATTATGTTGTCAACTATTGTCACATTTTCTCCCTGACCTCTTAACTCTGGCCAGCTCCAAGTCTTAGGCCTTGGTCTCCTCTATGTCACCCAGGCCATAGGGGAACTTCCCATTGCCAGAGTCAAGATCTGGCTTAAAATGCTATCATTAGGTTAATAACACCTCCCTGGTGGTGCAAGGGGTTAAGATGCAACCTATGAAGCTGTCTGTAGCCACTGCAGCACGAGTTGAATCCCCAGCCCTCCAAGGAGCTACCCACATGGCAAAGCAGACCTCTCCTGTCTCACCCACTGCTCCCCTCAGCAGTGTATTTCAGTCAATCTGTTCTGTTCCCCTCTCTGTTGCTGGTGAATCCCCTCACCTCCCCCCCACCTCTGTCCTGTACCCCAGTTCTTCTATGCATAAATAAATAAATAAATAAAATGCGCATGCTGGGAGCATCATTGCCAGTAGTAGCATTTAAAAACCCGTGCTGCTGGGCCTCCCCGGTGGCGCAGCGGTTGAGCGCTGGGTTGCGAAGCCGCCCGCAGCCTCTGCAGCGCCGGTTCGATCCCCGGCTGCTCCCGGGCCTCCGGAGGAGGGTCCCACATGGTGCGCAGACCTCTCCTGCCGCCCGCTGCTCCCCTCAGCAGTGTACTTCGGTCCTTCTGCCTGCTCTGCCCCCTGCTCTGGCTCTGGTGAATTCTCTCACCCTCCCGCGCTTCTGACTGTACCCAGTGCTTGTATAAATGAATGAATAAATAAATAAATAAAATACAAAAAAAAAAAAAAAAAAGATAGCTTCCCTTTAAAAAAAAAAAAAATAAATAAATAAATAAATAAAAACCCGTGCTGGATGCTACATGCTCACATCCTCTCCCTTAGCAACGGGGGAGGGGGATTGGAGGGGTGCCACATGAAGACAGTCACTGGATCATGGCATGGAGACCATCTGCCTGTTTCTGTGAATATGAAATAACTTGAGGTGTTAGTCCACTAAGATCTATGGTTCCTTTGTTACCACAATATAATCTAACCATTTCTGAAGGCTTCCTCTAGCGGTTATTATTTTAAGGTTTATTTTTATACAAGAACTGGGGTATAGGCCAGAGGCGCAGTAGGTTGAGAGGATTCACCAGAGACAGAGCAGGATGCAGAACAGGCAGACAGACCGAAGACACTGCTGAGGGGAACAGGCGTGACAGGAGAGGTCTGCCGCGCCATGTGGGTTTCTCCCTGCCCGGCTGGGAATAGAACCTGCGCTGCAGAGGCTGTGCACAGCCCCACAGCACTGTGCTCAGCCTGCCACGCCACTGGGGCTGCCCCTAGCAGTTATGTCCAAGAGGAAACCAGCTGGTCTGACTACACACAGCTAGTAAGTGCCTGAATGAAGATCTGAATCCAGGATGGCTGGTTTTATAGCTCACACTTAATCCTTGCAATTTGCTGCCTTGGCGATGTTAATACTATAATGCCACCATTTAATAAACTCACCAAATGGGACCAAATTAAGGTAACTGCTTTGCTAGCATGCTCTAAAAGGGCTCTTACAGCCTGAGAAAGGGACTCACAGGACAGGCAGGGGAGATTCAGACAGGAGGAGTCACTTGCCTGGGAGCATGCCAAAGACCAATAGTTGACATAGAATAGTTCTGTGAGGACTGATCCATATTACTGTCCCTCCGCTGCTCTCCCTTCAATGTTGCATTAAGGTTTTCCAGAGAAAAAGAACCAACAGGATATATATAGAGAAAGAGACTTATTATGAGAAATTGGCTCATGTGAATATGAAGACCCACAGTCTGGTAGCTGCAAGCTGGGGTCCAGGAAAAGCAAAGTCCTGGCTCAAACGTGAGGGCATAAGAACCAAGGGATGGGGTGGGGCATCCCTGGTGACGCAAGGGGTTAAGACCACCTTATGAAGTTATCCACAGCCACTGTAGCACGAGTTTGATCCCTGGCCAGGGGGCTACCCACATGGCGCAGCAGACCTCTCCTGTCTCACCCGCTGCTCCCCTCAGCAGTGTATTTCAGTCAGTCTGCATGTTCTGTTCCCCACTTTGACTCTGGTGAATCCTCTCACCCTCTGTACCTCTGGCCTGTACCCCAGTTCTTGTATGCATAAATACATAAATCTTTTTTTTAAAGATTTATTTATTTATTTGTTTATTTGTTTATTTATTTATTTATACAAGCACTGGGTAGTCAGAAGCACAGGAGGGTGAGAGAATTCACCAGAGGCAGAGTGGGGAGCAGAACAGGCAGACAGATGAAACACATTGCTGAGGGGAACAGAGGGCGTGGCAGGAGGTCTGTACACTATGTGGGACCCTCGCCAGCAGCCAGGAATGGAACCAGTGCTGCAGAGGCTGCGGGCAGCTTCGCAACCCAGCGCTCAACCGCTGCACCACCCGGGAGGCCCTAAATACATAAATTTTAAAAAAAAAAAAAAAGAACCAGGGGAGCCCATGGAGTAAGTCACCGACTGGAGAAAACCAGTGTTCCAGCTGGGCGGCCAGGCAACGTAGAAATTACTTTTTGTTCTATTTGATCACTCAGAGGATTGGAGGATGCCTCCCACATTAAGGAAGACAATGTGTTTTATTCAGTCAAATACTGATTTCCTCCAGAAACACCCTCACAGACATACCCAGAAATAATGCTTAGCCAAAAATTTTGCACAGGCCATGCTGACTCATCAATGAAATGTTTCTTGATCTCCCCTTTGACAAACAAAAGCAGGTTGCCCTATTACAGTCTCCCAGGACTCCCAAAACTTCCCCCAGGAAACTGGTAACAAATGAGTCATTAGTATTTGGTGATGTTTACCTCATGAACTGGATTGGAGACCTTATGGATGGGGGTCATGGTACTTTTTGGGACCACCATGTCCCCAGCATCACCTAGCCCATGGTTGCGTGGGACAGGGATAATGGTT